CAATGGTGTAGTGGTTAGTTTTGGCATTGAAGGCGAGAGGCTAATGGTTCGAAATAGAGTATTTCAGGATCTTCTCTTAAGCAGTTCTGCAAGAAAATCCTCTTTGACCATACACTACCAGTGTTACCCATGTTACTAGTGTTACTCGTACCCTTATTCATAATCTAGTACCCTTATTCATAATCTTCATCTTTTCAATCAATATCATTACCCTCTTCTTAGAAATCGAAGTTCCGTTAACTCGGATGTTCACGATGTAGGAAAAACAAACTTTTATTCTCAAACAAGTGTGTGATAGTTGCATACAGTCTGTTCACAAACTGTAAGTAATTTTGGGTAGATATGCACAATGTATTAACATGAAATAGAGCTGGAATAAGATGAAGCATGACAAAGAGGAGTTGGAAGAAAGAAAGGGGATAAATCTGTTTTACACTCTGTCAGTTCGTGATTGGAAAAGAACAGGTATTACTCTTGAAAATGAGATACTCCAGTTTGCAAATATGTATTTACTTTACAACCAATAAAATTAGAGTTTTTTCAAAAAACACATCTGATTATAGAATGAGCATAGTAAAGCATTCTGACTTCTAAAGAATTCGATAAGAAACGCAGAAATATGTCCAGATCAACATCGGGCGATCTTGCTAAGTAAAACAGGCTTCACTCTTTTGAATATGAAAAGGTTGTCCTATTTGAAACTGAGAAAGTATAACGGTGCTAAGTGGGCGTGGCGCGTGCGTCCAACCAACTAATCTTAGCTCTACCCAATCAAACTGTAATTGACTATTTCGGTGCGAACCACACCTATCTAGCTATTTCGCCTTTAACGGGGAGAAATTTCGATGTTTCTGCGGGACCCCGTTATATTCAGAAAGTCGTAAATAAAAAGAATTTTCAACAAAAACTTCGCACGGAGCCTTTGTGGTCATCAGTTTTGGCTGCGATAATTAATCTTATGCCGCAGAAGAATCAGAAAATGCAGCGAAAAGAGTGTTTTACATAGCCAACCAAGGAAAATATTCTAATATGAACAGCAAATCCTTCCAAAGATCTAGGTCTAGTCATAACTCGTCCTTTAATCGGTTTTCTTCTTTGCGCGATGGCAACAATTGAATCAAATCAAAACCGTAATCTCTCAGTTTGTTC